GATAATGACTGTTGACTCCAGATCTCATGCGTCTCTAAGAATCATCCATTAGTAAGAAAAGTTTAAGAGCCCTAATAAATATTTATACTTCTCTCTTGTAAATTCTGCTTGGTAAGCGAGCAGCAGCTTTTGGTGCCATATGAATGAATTTTGGTTCTCTGTAAATAAACTTATGTATTTAGTATGTATTTGGTGACCATATAAAAGCATCTTTCATCAAGGTTAGAGATAGGTCATAGGTAGGGTTAGCAATGAGCCAAAGACATGCCCAAACTATTTTAATTTGGTAGTCAAAGCTCAGTTCAGGTTTGGTCAAAATCAAGTTCAAGCCAAACTCATTTAGCTATATAAGTTGAATTCGAGACTGTAAATATTTGGTTTAACAACTCCTGAGTAAATTTGTATTAAAATTTTTCGATAAGTTGTATCAATATTATAATTATATATATTATATACATAAATATTTATAGGTTCTTACTTAAATGAGATCCTTTCGAGCTTGGTTCTGTATACTTCAAGCATATTCAAGCTCTACTCATTCAATCTCTCTAAAAATGGACCATACCAGACTGGACCGAGAACCAATCAAGGATAGAAGTCTACATCTGTGGTCTGGTCTAGTCCAGATCGAAGTGACCAAAATTATTATTATTATTTTTAATTAAAATTAGTAAAATTTAATAAAAACAAAACTAAAAAGATTTATTTTTATTTTATAATTTTTGTATTTTCAGGCCATATTGGTTCATTTCATTCCAGACTGAGACTGGACCTAAATGAACTGAATTTTCCAGTCCCTTGGTGTCTAGACTGCAGACCAGACCTAATACAGTCCGGACCAGGATTTGGACATCCTTCAGCTCTCTACTGAGTTCTTTTATAGATGAACTTGAAGTCTTGTTTCTTTAAACAATCAGAATCTGAGTTTTAAAATAAAAATAAACTGAGTTGCAAGATGACCTCAAGTTTAAAGTAGAGTTCGAATTTAGTTTTGAGCCAAATTTGAGCCTTACAGTGTTAAAAGAAAATAAAATTAAATATTCAAGTACTTGGTATGACTAAGCTTGTTGCCATCCCTAATCATGATTATAGAACAAAAAAGTTTGTTGAATCTGAGAACTGATATCTCTTACCTTCTGCCCTCAGTCCTATTTCACTTGTCTTCTCCTTCTTGATATTTTCTCTATGTTCTCCTCATTTGGTCTGTTGCTCTCGCCAAATTCTTATATTTCTGTCCCTGTTCTTCTATCTTTCCCCTATATCCTCACTCTTGTCACTGTCCTACCCATAACACCTTAAATTCTCCCTCTTTTCTCCCCATTTTCCTCTCTTTTTTGGTTGTCCTAAGTTAATTAGAATAAAAGTCATCCTATCCTACATCAACATGTCAGTAACAGTTCTCTTCTAGCAAAAGAAAACCAAATAGTCACCACCAACTATAATGAAGAAAAATTACAAGAAAATAAAGATATATTAACAGAAAGTCTTACCCCTCCTTTGGATGAATTTGGTGAAATAAGTGGTATGAGTATCAGCAAAACAACTACAGCCAAGTCCTGAACAGTTTCACAATCCAAAGAAGGCAGAATTCATTAGTTAAATGCTTCCAGTGAAGATTCAAGAAGATGCTAGAGGTAATGAAAAGAAAAAAAAAAAATTCCATACACTGTTATAGCAGAAAGATGCAGTGAAATAGTTATATTATGCACTATACAAAACAAAGTTACTGGAAATTAACTGCCTGCAGATCATTTTGAATGTAGCATGCAAGTTTTTGCAATCCCTAAACCATATCTTGAGGGGATTATACTTGACAATATGAGGGAAAATCCAAGGATTCTCTATGCATGGTTGCTTACTGTCTCCTGCAGCAGTTTATATTTGTTTCTCTCATATTGTTAGACCAGGGAAAATCAGAGAAAGGATGCAGGTCAATATGCTCCAGATTTTCAGTTAGACAAACCATGTTAACCACTCAAGTCCTTAACATTTGTTTCAATTCCTTCTCTGATTCCAAACACATAGACCAACCTGGAAAAGCAGGACAGAAAATGTAGCGCGTCCGTGGCGAGAGGTGCTTTCACCTCGCTCTTGTAAAACCTGCAAATACATTTTCAAAATAACAAACTTATCCATCAAAAAGATAATTGCCATATGCTGTTGACAGTTTTGACTGATGTATTAACGTTGGAACACAAAAAATTCAAAGCATAATAAAAAGGGTTGAACTATCCAACCTTCAAATCTTCCAATCTAGGAAGGTCTTTTACCTGTAGTCCAGTTTTCTTTTGATTTGGAAAAAATTGCTAAAACTATTACCTGCAGGACAACGGCAGTTGAGGACAATGCCAGCCCATTGCCAATTACTAGTGCAGCAGGACCAGGCTGTCCAGCAACAAAATGGGCAACCAAGCCAACTGCAACAGCTGTCACCAGGACCTAAATGCATATTGAGAGTTTCAGTAAGAGAACTACTCAGTTGCCTTGTAAACAAGGCTAGCTTGCAACGAAGGAAAAATTAGCATATCAAACGAGAGGGGTTTCAGAAAATCACCTGAGCAGATCCTAATCCAAAAACATATTTCTTCATGGAACTCAGCCTTTCAACAGACAGCTATAAAATAGAGAAAAATCTTCAGTAATTACTTCATCATGATGCAAGTCAAATGTAAGGGTGCAGTACTGTATCTAAGCGAATGAACTCCACCTCAAGGCCAATGTTAAATAGCAAGAAAACAACTCCAAATTCAGCAATTGCTTTTGTCCCATGCACATGCCGAATTATAGAGAGACCATATGGCCCGATCAGGATCCCAGCAGCTAGGTATCCAAGAACTGGACTGCCTAAACGATTGTAGTAAACATAACCATCAATGAAAAAGCATACAGAATTCAATATGTGACAACAAAGAAGAGAAGGCTGACTAAGATATGTGCAGATGATGGTCAATGGTAAGAAACAGAAACAAAAAAGAATCAAGATCCTAATACTACTCCTACACTAAATTAAACAAGAACAAAATTTCATAAAACAGGAGGGAAAAGAAAGAAGAAGAAAAAGAAACTGTATTTTGCTCCAACGTGTTAGAAATATTTAAGAAATTAAAAGATTCACTTATTACCATGACATGAACAATTAAGACTGTATAAAAGAATGCAAGAACTGATTACCTCCGGGAATTTTCTGAAATATGGGCACGAATATAACACTTGCAAGCAACAACCACAATACGTCGAAAAGGGAAGCTTCCTCCTCATTGATCTAAGAGAAAAGAAAGTCAAATCAACTAATGCTCTATATAAATTAGGTTTAAGGCTGAAAGAACAAATAAACGGTAATAGAACTGATTGCCTCTTGGTGAGGAATCATTGAGATTAGTTTTTTAATTCTTCTAGGAAGTTTTCGTATTTGTCTGATCATGGGCTTTGCACTTGAGGAAACTTCTTCAATACTGGTGGTGATCACATCTGACTGTTGCAGTAGCTGGGAATTCCTCTCAATACGATTGGCATAGAAGGTGACCCTGTGATATATCATTATGATCAAAATAAGGGACCCATGAACTAAAGAAGACCATTTAGTAACAGGAGCATATGCTATACAGATTTAACAGAATATCCTTTCAGGACAACTAAATAAAAAAGCTCAATCATGAGCTGTTTCTATATTTAAAATCAAGAGAGATTTATATGTCCTAAACTAACATAAAGCAAAATGTTCTCATTAAATGCAAAATAAATTGTGTGCTCAAAAAGAAAATCAGATTTATGTTGACCTAGAGTTGATTAACTCAACATGACAACTCTTTCCTGGAGTTCTGTTTTCTTTTTGTGCTTATACTAGTGCATCCATAGAAAACTAAGAAATTTAACACAGATGTCTAATGAAATATTAAAAATCGATCTTTTGCAAAGCATTATACATGGTGCATTTTTTTTTTTCAGCAAGCAGTTTTACAAAAAAAATTGATGAAATGGTAGTCATTATTGCGACAAAGGAGTAGCACAAGTAGACTGACCCTGCCCCAAAGAGTAGTAACCCAAGTACCACTTTAGGCAATTGCCTTCTTGTGTACTCGATCAGACTGTGGAAAACAGATGCTGGTGTGAACTCGCTCCCTTCTACAGTGAAGGAGAAGAATGACGCAGAAAAGAAACGAGAAGATTTCTTTAACAATGCCTTTGGAGAATTCAGAGATGAATTTTCCCTGATCAAATCTTTCTGTGCTTCCTGCTTTTTTGTTTGAATAATATTCTTTGACTTTTCAGACTCTGCTTCAGCCTCTAGTGAAGAGTCCACACTTAGCTTGCCATTTTCATGATCACTTAAATCATCAGGTTGATTTAACTTTTCAGAACTCTGGATGGCTCCTTCAGATACGATATCTGGGCAAGGATCAATGACAACTGAATCAGCATTAATTAGCGCATCTATTTCTCTTTCAGTGCTAACATGACCAGTATTCCCTGGATCCACCTCATCCTCAACAACAACCCCTTCACCCAGTCCCTGTC